TATATATATATATATATATATATATATATATATTACAGTTTACAATGAAAAAAAGCGTCCTATGATGTTTACAGTAAATAACGGTTCATACATCTTTGTAAAGACTAATAAAAGATCTTATCAAAGCTTTCACCAACAATAATGTATGTTTTGGTAAAAAAATTCATCAATTGAACATTGGCAATTTTTTACTAACTAGTATTGTGGTGTTAAATTTTTAAGTTAAACTTGTGTAAACGTAATTTCAATCTGAGAAGGGGACAAAACAACGTAATGTTCGTCCACAAATGATTTGTTATTTTGAACCTAAATCAATAAATCCTACCTTCTGCGACACGATCAGATCAGAGATCCTAAGGTTCAGCTATAGCCATTTCAAATTTTCGTTTGCTGACCAGTTAATCGCCTCTGTTGCCTATAGGTTGCTCTTGACCGAATAACTATATTTACTGTTTCGGTTATAGCGCCACCACAGCTGTAAGTGCGGAGAGTGTTCAGCGGCAACTCATGACAAGTAGGACCATTTGATAGGGTACCTAGGTCCATTCCTAGTACATCCACTGGATGCCAAACCACATGACGGGGACCCTACCAGTTTGAATCACAAAGTAACGTTTTGGGTTAGCATTCGTACAAATTATGTGTATACATTTATGGGTAACAACACCCTTGATATAATTGTTTCTATGAAAGCTTTGGCTGGAAGGACCACATTCGTTACACGTTTTCGATGTCTTGTTCAGCGCCGTGACAAGAAATCTCGGGTGCAAGAAGATCTTGGAGACCTTATTGTAACAAGAAACCACTACTCTACTGCTTCTCGAATTTTTTTTTGGTTCCAGGAGTAAGGTTCAGTGATCTCCTGAGCCAGCGGTCAAGGTTAAATTCGCTCCTTTCACACCCTATTGCTTAGGCTCTGCTCCTTCCTCCTTTTCCTAATTCCACAAATCTGCTTTGAATTTTCTCCTGAATCCAAAAAGTTCTCTGGGGTTGTTATCAACGGTTGTGTAAACTGTATTTTTGTACTTTTCAATGATCACTTATGGTGTCACTGTTCTTGATTACCCCTCGCGGTAAGGTAAGTTTATGGATTTACAATGCTAAAATCCGGGGTTCGTTTCCCCACGGTTGACAGAACGCAGATAGCCAATTGTCTTGCTTTGCCTGGGGAAAACAACAGCAACAATGGGAAGTTAAAATCGTCATGTTTGCTCTTTTTATTTTTATTCAGAAATGTGCAACTCAATAATATTTTGTGCGACACGTAACTAATTTTATTATTTTTTTTTTATCAAAAGAGACACATCAATACCGTAGGACTTGTAATTCTATAATGGTTTATTTACATAAATGCTTTCTTTTACGCAATTCAGTTTTCTCGTTTCGTCTATATGAACGGTTTTGTCATTATTAGGTATTTCAGTTGGGTATCACCTGTCCAGAGATGTAACATCCGTAAATTGATTCATTCTTAGGGATCATATTGCTTTAATTCTTTTATGGCGAGTAAGGAATTTTGAAGGGAAAAAAAATGTCCAGTAAAATATCTTTAAAAAGCATTGTCTTCGCCGCTATGTACATTTTGTTGTATTTCGAAAAAACTGTACGTTCTGATGAATGAGGTAAGCTAAGAGTCGATTGTATTAAATTATTTATAAATTTGATATTCGTCTTTTTTTTTATCTAATCAAAGATAAAATATTTCAACTAACATTACAAGAGTTTAAAAACAAAAAATACAAGATACCTACCTTACACACAAAAGAAAAAACGTAGAGACTGCGAAAATTCAACTGCTTAAAATCTCGACCATTATTTGATAAAATAAGTCTATGTTTCTGGACTCTGGTTAGAACTAGCAAACCGTTGGACCGATTGTCATCAGTCCTGGTACTTACCCTTAGGTTCCCTAGGGGAGTGACATAGGGGGTCGGCGTTGAATGTGTAAAACAAATAGTTTATACAGAGTTCGCGATGTTATACGAAATATACTACCATTGAGGTTTAACAACGTTCACAGTGTTAAGCTACTTGTTTTTTTGTGAACCAACACTAATACTAGTACTGTATGTATTTGGCCAAGCAGAGCGCAAAATGGTAGGTGTTCGAGCAGGGCTCTACCAATGAAAACAAACAAATTTGATCCAGAATTCGAAGAGTATACAACAAAACGAGATTAAATGTGCTATTAAATATTTATTTTCAAAGTGTATATTACAAAAATGTACACGCGTTACTGAACAGTTTATACAGCCTTTGCGTAATACACTATTAAAACAAAATGAGAGTCCTTGACCCAACTTAGAGCCACGTGATGCTATGGTCCTTGGTCTCAGGTGGCGATTGCTTACGATGTTCCTATGGGGTGGAAAATGCTCTGTCTCGGCGAGAAAAAGTTTGAACTTAAGTTTTAAGTGTACGTCATAATATTTAAGTACAAATGTTTTGAGTGTATAATCCTGACATATTAAGAACGATTGATATGAACTGCTCTCTGAAATAATACATAGTACAAAAGATTGATGATAACTGTTTAATTTTCTTTATACTCCAGTTGAACACACAAGCCTGTCCAATGATGCCAAAAACGAGAGCCAGATTCAATCCACGTTTACACTAGAGATTACTACTGTAACCACAGAAGTTGAGGATCTGTTTCACTCTACTACTGGTAAATCGCCTTTTGTAGACAAAGTTCATACACAAGATAACGCCGAACCGTCAACCTTTTCTACTGATAAGCTTGACCTTGGCCACGCCTACAATGACAGGGAACCGCCTTTTTCTAAATCGCCACCTAGCGAAGAACGAGTTAAATATATATACGTGACCTTCAATGGAGATAAAACTTTGTCGTCAGTTGAAAACCTACGTAAAGTTTCTGTGGGTGAGTGTGATTAGGTCTTCTAAATTATTAAAACTAAGTAGCATTATATATATAATTATTTCACGTGTTGAGTATACTCAATTAGACCACATACAATACTCTTTTTTTCTGTTATGATTACAGATGTTTAAATACAAATTTATTCAATTTAATATATATATATATATATATACACAAAATTGGTTCGTTGAGAATCTCATCACAATTCATTGTTGCTCAGGAAACACAACTAGGTTGACTATATAATACACGGCTTCTAGTGCTTATACTTATAATACTCGTTGTTTGATCGGTTTAAAGCCCTTTAAAATTTTTATATAGCGCCATCTACAGTGTGTTTTCATCGTTCTGGCCTGCAGTTCGAAACGACGACTAAGTATACCTCTACAACAAATCATTTGAGTTCTTTTGTAAAAGAACCACTAGAAATACGTAAGCCATTAGAAACAGTTATTATTCTGGATTCACCTTTGAGTATTGTTCACGTGATTTGCAATATCTCCATATTTATAAATAAACACATAACAACTCGGGAATGAATAGTTATTTTTTAAAGTATCGTTCTCCTACATAAGGATATAATAATATATTGCTAAATATATTTACCTGAGATCGACCTTGAGAGATACTCGAACCACATATAGTGGAATATTACAGTCTTTGGACGATAAGGAATAATGAAATGGTTGTTTAATTTTGTAATAGAAAATAGCATATTATATTAACTAAACCTTGTTATTAATAGAGTCGGCCATGAAGTAATTTTAGTTGTTATTCAATAAAGAATTTTATTTTTTCAAAAGATTTGTTGGTTGGAAACGAAGAACTTTTATTACAAATGAAAAATTTACAACTGACATTGTTATTTCAAACTGAACGGCGCCTTATGCGACGAATGGGTTAAAGGGCCAGGTCGGATATTCCCAAGGTTTAGGTACAACCATCCCTAATTTTGAACTAATGATAAAAAGAAGGCAGACAGTTAGCAGCACCCAGCGTTACAATGGTTTTGTCCAGCTGTGATCTGAATAATCAGATTCACTGTCACTGTTATAATGCACCCACGGCCAAAAGTGTGAAGTTTGTTGAGTGGAATTTCGGCAAAAACATCGGACCTACGGAACCGCAGCCTGGCTCATTAACTAGGCCACGCTTGGCCCAGTTTTCTTACTGGTTAGTAGTTATCAGAATACACAAATACGTACTACATTTGAACAAAATTTTCTAAACATAGAAAGGCATTAAAGAAACGCCACACTATTTTCAGAATAGGTTAAAGTAAGATACTTTGAATTTTTAGCTACAGTAATATCCAGTTGCTACGCTGAAGTCGTATTCCAGAAGAACAATGGAATTGTTACGTCTCCGTTTGTTAATTAACTTTCCGTAACTTCCGTAAAGTTGCGACAAAACTTTAGCGACACAAGTCCTTTCTAATAAAACTAGTTTATTCTTTCCGAATATAACTTTACCGATACACTCAACTTCAACAATCGCGCTAAAACAAACGCTATAACAACGAACGTGCACAATAATACTCTCTGACTGCAGATCAATTACTCACTGTCTACACACACATTACATTATTCCGCCACGTTGTGAGCGTCTTATTTATATACCAGGAAAACATATATCTAGTAAATGCTAGGGCATTCACGAAGGAACAAGATACTTCTAGAAAATAGGTGGCGTGCCAATAGTCACGTGATCTCGCTGACGCAACAGAATGTTCTAAGCACCAACATTGTATCCTTTGCTATAGTAAGTTTCACCAGGTCATCATGTTAATCCTGTTGGGCTCCGTGTGCAACATTATAATAAAGACCATACGCGCAAATGGGATTATATGATGGCCACCATAAAAACAATTGTCTGGGATGACATTTATAGAGTGTTCCCTACTTATTCTATATCTTGGGTTTTAGTCTCCTATAATTCCAGTGTAACGTTCACTCATTTTAAAAGTTTTAAAATTCAAGCCATTTTAATGCAAGGACGAGATAATGTAATCAGTACAATTCCGTTGAATAGTAACTTAAAAAACAACAACAATAGTTCAATAATATTTTTATGAAAAGTTCATCACATTATACTTTGACTGGATGCAGCCAGTGCTTGAAACAAGGAACATAAACAACACTCGTGGGTGGCACAGGCACCAATTATAAGTGGCACCGTTTTTATAAGTTCATTCCTTATCTATTATAAATAACCAAGTTACATTTGTCTGGTATAACAGATTAGTATTATTCGTCACGTGTTGCAATCTTCTAGATAAAACGTGTTTTGATATTTAAGGATTACTTTAACGTTGTCATAATGCTAGTAGACATACTGTGTATTATACGAAACATAAAAATTCAATATGAATACTAAAGCTTCTTAAGATGTTAATAGGTTATAACACATAGTCAGTGTTTTACGTTTTAACATAAGGAAGGTCAGTTAACTTCTCCACGGATACACAACACAGTCTGTCTTCGTAGAATAGTTAACTGACTTTCTTCACGCTAAAACATTTTTTTTTATTGTAATATTGGCGGCTTTTAGACAATACCACGGAGACTAATCAAGAAGAAGAAGTTGGACGAACACAAGTGTATATCATCGGGATTGTCGGTATTATTCCTGCTGCTGGGGCCCTCTTGTGGTGCTTCAAGCGAACTTTTCCCTGGTTATGTAAGGTGAATATTTGCGTGTGAACAACATGTCGACTGTTTCTGGTAGTAATCTAACGAGCAAAACACTTATTATTATGCTTAATATCTTAATTATTTTTTAAAGTTTTAAATAAAAAACTATGCATATATAATTATGTAAAAAATACATAGAATTTCTACGCACTTTAAAGATTAATTTTTTCAATATTCTTTCCCATAGTAATTTAAACAGGATCAGATTATATTTTGAAGGATTAAGGTTATCTACGTATTTGGACTTTTTGCACAATATTATATTGTATGTTATGTGTTCAGAAATAATAATAAAAACATTCTAAATTTTCATATAAAGAAAAGAGAGAAAAATTAAATTCTCGTATGTCCAACATTTATTTTAGGAATTACGGGCGTTGAACCAGAACAATTCTAGCCTTTTTGGAAAACTATCTTAATAAACGACTCGAAAACCAAATCCTAATTTTATAGTTTCCTATTCATTTGGAAATATAAAATGTTCGCTAATCATATAATAAGGGTAATTTTGTATGCGCTGTTAGAAAAAACACAAGCAATCTGAAGACTCTCCATCGGATAATCCCAAACTTCAGGCATCAACCTTCAAAAGAAGAGGAGGAGAAAGAGTGACTTCATCTGACCAGAACAACCCTGATGGAACAACGACAATAGAGGTATTGATTTGCACTTTGAAAATGCCATTTTCTATGTAGGCTATGTAGGCAACATCTTCTAAATGTAAAGTGCAAAAAATGTCTAGAATCGGGCTTGATTAGTGGATATACGTATATTTATATTAGATTCATTCACGCACGTGATGTAAAAAAAAAACATGTTTATATAGTTATAGCTCATCTGCTTATGGTATATAATGTTTCTACATAGTCTACATCAAGATTTTTTGGCATGAAATAGTCGCATGCAATGACTTCTGTTGACACTTTGTAATTGGAAGTCGAAGCCGTATTGCTACTGTCAGGTTTTGTAGGCCGGATTCTTTACAGTAGGTGTTCGTGATTTGTTGGCGATAAATTTCAACATTAAAGAAATAACAACATAGTCCACATGTTTTAAAATAATATATTAAAACAAGTCAAACGTATATACAAATGTTCGTTACACTGTTGGTTATCATATTTGCATCCAGAGCTTTTTCGTCAAAATCCATACAGGCTGAATAATTACCTGAGGTTTACACAAGCCGAAGAAAGACTGAGTGCTTTAGCTTTAATACATTATCATTTTGACACTGCTATCAACATTTAAAACTATGTAAGTTATTTATGGAAAAGCACCCCAGAAGAATGGAGCATGCTAACAGGTTATTTCAGTGGTGCATACATGTACGTGTATGATAGCCAGTAATTCAAATAAGTAGTATACGTGTTGTGCAGAGTTGTTTAAATTAGTAATATAATTTAACAGTTAATAACTACTCTGTATGTAGATAGTACAGTACTTTACTATGATAAAATACACATATTTATGCTAATTTGAGTTTAACTCTCCATGCAGTGTTACAACAGAGTAATGATTTGTTGATTTATCATTGGACGTTTGTGGATTTTATGTGAACAACCATGCAATTGTTTAAGCTATATTTCATGCAACTTTGCTTCCAGACTTAATTTCATGCAAATTTGCTTCCAGACTTAATTTCACAACACCTATTTTTTACAAATTTTCTGGGAGAGAAGGGGCATACCCTCAGACCCCCGTATTATTAGCATGCTAATTGTGCTTCGTACAATATGTGTTGGCTTTTGATCTCACAAATTAGACCCCCCCCCCCCTTCAAACTTTCTGCTTACGGACCTGTAATTTTATTTCAATAATAAGACCTCAAAAATCTGCAGTGATCTCAGTTGGAGGAAAACGAAAATTATTCTTACAGGGTTTGGAAATAGTACAAGTAAAGAAAAACTTTTCAAAAACGGAAGTAAATGGAGGAATGGCTAATATCAATCCTTCAAAAACAATGCAAACAAGATAGTAAGG